GTTGTAGGTTTACAGGAAAATTGATTAAAAAGTACAGAGAATTCTATCACACCCCTTCTCTACCCTCTCCTTCCAGTTTCCCCTACTACTTAACATCCTGTATTAGTGTGATACATTAGTTACCATTGTAGAACCAATACTGATATATTATTGACTAAAGGCCATAGTTTACATTAATGTTCAGTCTTTGCTTTGGACATTTTATGGGTTTTGGCTTATATAGCGACAGGTATCTACCATTTACTGCCCTGAAAATCCAGTGTTTCACCTGTTCCTCCAAACCTCTGGCAACCACTTACCTTTTCAATGTCTTCATAGCATCACCTTTTCCAAAATGTCAGGTAGTTGAAATTATACAGTATATAGCTTTTTCAGGTTGGCTCTTTCACAAAACAGTGGGGTTTTTTTGTTTTTAAAGATTTTATTTATTTATTTATTTATTTATTTATTTATTTATTTATTTGTTAGCGTACAAGCAGGGAGAGGGGCAGAGGGAGAGAGACAAGCAGACTCCCCGCTGAGCAGGGATCCCAGGACCCTGAGATCATGATCTGAGCCGAAGTCAAACGTTTAATGAATTGAGCCACCCAGGTGCCCCCCAAAGAGTGTGCTTTTAAGATTCTTCAATACCTTTTCATGGCCTAATAGCTCATTTCTTTTTATTGCTCAGTAATCTGTCATTTGGATATACCACAGTTTGGTTATCCATTCACCTACTGAAGGACATCATAATTGCTTCTGGGTATTGGCAGTTATGATACAGCTGCTACAAACATTCGAGTGCAGATTTCTGTGTGTACCTAAGTTTTCAACCCCTTTGGGTGAACTAAGGAATGTGATTGTTGCATCATATGGTAAGAATGTGTTTAGCTTTGTAAAAAGCTGACAAACTGTCTTCAGATGTGGCTGCACCATTTTGCATTCTCACCAGCAATGAATGAGAATGTCTATTGCTCCACATTTTTCGCAGCATTTGGTGCTGTCAGTGTTTTGGATTTCTGTCATTCTAATAGGTATATGGCGATATCTTGTTTTAATTTGTAGTTTTCTTTGCATCATGCTTATTTGCCATCTGTGTATCTTCCTTGGTGAGGTATCTGTTCAGATCCCTTGCCTACTTTTTAATTGAGGTGTTTATTTGAGAGAGAAAGAATGAGACAGAGAGCACAAGAGGGGGGAGGGTCAGAGGGAGAAGCAGACTCCCCGCGGAGCAGGGAGCCTGATGCGGGACTCGATCCCGGGACTCCGGGATCATGACCTGAGCTGAAGGCAGTCGCTTAACCACCTGAGCCACCCAGGTGCCCGGGTGTTTACTTCTTTTAATTGTTGAGTTTTAGGAGTTCTTTTTTTGGATGCTAGTACTTTATCAAGATATACGTTTTGCAGAGATTTTCTCCCAGTCTGTGGCTTATCTTTTCACTTTCTTGATAGTGCCCTTTGAAGCACAAAAGTTTTAAATTTAGATGAACTCCAATTTATTTTTTTCCTCTCCTGGTTTTGGTACCATATCTGAGATTCCATTGCCTTGTTCAAGGTCATGAAAATCGGGGTGCCTGGGTGGCTCAGTAGTTAAGCGTCTGCCTTCAGCTCGGGTCGTGATCCCAGGGTCCTAGGATCGAGCCCTGCATCGGGCTCCCTGCTCCGCGGGCCTGCTTCTCCCTCTCCCACTCCCCCACCTGTGTTCCCTCTCTCACTGTGTCTCTGTCTGTCAAATAAGTAAAATCTTTAAAAAAAAAAAAGTCATGAAAATCTGTGCCTGTATTTTCTTCCATGTGTGTTATAGTTTGGGCTCTTATATTTAGGTCTCTGGGCATTTATGATGTGAAGTGTGGGCCCAACTTTATTCTTTTGCATGTGACTCTTCAGTTGTCCTACTACCATTTGTTGAAAAGACTGTTCTTTCTTCATCAAGTTTTGTCTTTGTATCCTGATCAAAAAACAATTGACCATAAATGTGAGGGTTTATTTGTGGACCCTCTTTTCTATTGCATTGATCTGTATGCCCATACTTATGTATAAGCAGTACCATACTGTCTTTGTTAGTGTAATTTCATAGTAAGTTTTGGAATTGGTAAGTGTGAGTCTTCCCAGCTTTGTTTTTCCTAGATCTTTTGGGTTATCCTGGGCCTCTTGTATTTTCATATCAAATTTAAGATCAGCTTGTCAGTTTCTGCAAAATTAGGTTGGATTTTGATAGGGATTACATTGAATTTATAGATCATTTTGGGGGTCATTACCATCTTTTTTTTTTTTTTTTTAAGATTTATTTGAGAGAAAGCATGAGCAGGGGGAGGGAGGAGCAGGCTCCCCACTGAGCCGGGAACCTGATGAGGGGCTCAGATCTCAGGACTCTGAGATCATGACCTAAGCTGAAATCAAGAGTTGGATGCTTAACTGACTGAGCCACCCAGGTGTCCCTGGGGAGCATTACCATCTTAATATTTAAGTCTCCTGATCCATGAACATGAGATCTTCCATTTATTTAAATCTTTAAGTGACATTTTGTAGTTTTCAGTGTACATTCTGTGCTTTTTATTTTTTTTAAAGATTTTTATTTATTTATTGAGAGAGATAGTGATAGAGAGCATGAGAGGGGGAGAGTCAGAGGGAGAAGCAGACTCCCCACTGAGCAGGGAGCCTGATGCGGGACTCGATCGCGGGACTCCAGGATCATGACCTGAGCCGAAGGCAGTCGCTTAAACAACTGAGCCACCCAGGAGCCCTCTGTGCTTTTTATTATTAAATTTATTCCTAAGAATTTTATTTTTTGATGCTGTTGTACATGGAGCTGTTTTCTTAATTTCAGATCGTTTATTGTTGGGGTATAGAAATACAGTTGAATTTTGTATATTAACTCATGTCCTGCAGTTCTGTATTCATTTATCAGTTCTAATGGTTTTGCGCGCGTACGTGTGTGTGTGGTTTCCTTAGGATGTTGTGTATACAAGATCGTGTCCTCTGTGAAGAGAGAAGTTACACTTCTTTTTTTTCCAATCTGAATGCCTGCTGTTTATTTTTCTTGTCAGGTCACCCTGGCCAGAACCTCCAGTACAATGTTGACTACAAATGACAGAGTAGATACTGTAGTGTTCTTTCTAATCTGAGTGGGAAAGTATCTAGTCTTTCACCATTAAATATCATGGTAGCAATGGGTCAGTGCCTTTCTAAGATACATGGTGAATTCATTTTCCTGATTTTTATTTCCTTTCTACTTTGACCTTTCTGTTCAGTAACTCATGAGTGGTACTCTGTGATCATGGTGTGGTGTACCAGTATCAGTCAGAAACCCTAACTCAGCTTTTCATAGGTCTGTAGTTGAATATTACTTAGTGGTTTTGTTTTGTTTTTTAATATTACTTTCTGTTGGGGGGCGCCTGGGTGGCTCAGTTGGTTAAGCGACTGCCTTTGGCTCAGGTCATGATCCTGGAGTCCCGGGATCGAGTCCTGCATCAGGCTCCCTGCTCAGTGGAGAGTCTGCTTCTCCCTCTGACCTTCTTCCCTCTCATGCTCTCTACCATTCTCTCTCTCTCTCTCAATAAATAAATAAAATCTTAAAAAAAAAAAATTACTTTCTTTTGGGAAATTTACGAAGTCAATTTAGAGATACATGAAGGACCTGAGTGTAGAGGATAGGACATGTTTTCCCAGATGACATTTATTCGCTTGTTCATTCATCATAGTGGTATTAAAAGCATTTGATAGTGGGAATGGACAGAAAAGGTTATGTTTCCATTGTGTGGGAACAACAGGAGTATGTCACTGAATAAAATTAAATGTGCTCTTTAGATAATTATGTTAATGTGTGCTTGCTCTCAGTGATTTTGTTCATTGTCTTTTTATGACATATTTGAGTATCTACGTGCTCTTACATGTGCTAATGCTTTTACATGCATCATTTTGCATAACCTTCACCATAGCTCCATCAAGAATATTGTTGTCCTCACCATTTGACAAGTAGGGTTCTGGGGATGGAGTCGTTAGTAAAGGACAGAACTAGAATTCAAGTCTCTGAATCCAGAGTCCAGTCTTTTAAAGTACTCATGACAATCTCTTCCTCGGTGCCAGTTTTGTTTTTGCTTGTTTTTTGCATTGTATCAAAATTTGAAAGCAGGATAGAAAAGCCTCTATTTGTCATCCATTATTCCCAAATGTGGTGTTTTTCTTTATTCTGAGGCTTTAGTAATATTGTTTATTGAAAAACCTGATAAGACGCACACTGTCGGGCACCCGGGGGGCTCAGATGATTGAGCGTCTGCCTTTGGCTCAGGTCGTGATCCCAGGGTCCTGGGATCGAGTCCCACATTGGGCTCCCTGCTCCTTGGGAGACTGCTTCTCCCTCTGCTTCTCTCTCTCTCTCTCTCCCTCTGTCTCTCATGAATAAATAAATAAAATATTTAAAAAAAAGACTCACACTGTCATCATTTGTTTGAACTCTCATATGCCAAGTCTTTAAAGTTCTTTTAGACCTAGTGGCTTGAAGTAATCATTTTTTTATTTTATTTTTATTTTATTTATTTATGTGAGAGAGAGAATGAGATAGAGCATGAGAAGGGGGAGGGTCAGAGGAAGAAGCAGACTCCCTGCTCAGCAGGGAGCCCAACGCGGGACTCGATCCCGGGACTCCAGGATTGTGACCTGAGCCGAAGGCAGTCGCTTAACCAACTGAGCCACCCAGGCACCCTCATTTTATTTTATTTTATTTTTAAGGCAGAAAATACTTAACATTCTGGCGAATATATAAAATTAAAAGAAATTTGCTAGTGACAAACATTAAAACAAAAGTGACCAACTTACTCTTCTTTTCCCAGCCCACTTCATAAAAATAAATATAAGGGGGTGCCTGACTGGCTCAGTCAGTGGAGCATGCGACTCTCAATCTCAGGGTTGTAGGCTCAAGCCCCACATTGGGTGTAGAGATTACTTAAAAAAATTAAAATATTGTGGTATTATATATATGTTATATATATGCTATCCATATCTAAAGTTTATACAGTTGTAAGATCTTGGTTTTTCTCCTCTCTTAGGTGTTTGTAAAATGTATGAAGAACATCTGAAGAGAATGAATCCCAACAGCCCCTCTATCACATATGATATCAGTCAGTTGTTTGATTTTATTGACGATCTGGCAGACCTCAGCTGCCTTGTGTAAGTATTAGCCACCATCTCTCTTAAGGTGTATTTTTCTGTTGTATATCCAGCTGTTTGAGGTGATTTACGGTATTCTGAGCTCACTATATGCCTGACACTGATCTTTGCAGTTTGACTACTATATAGTAATATTTCATCTACATATGGCTCATAAATTAATTTGGCAACATAAAGCTAATGGCACAGGAAAAGCTTGAGAATTTTGCTAATTGAGCAGTTAGTATGCAGAGAGAATGCTGAGAAGTTCAAAGTCCTGATCTTGGTTTCTTAAACCAAAGTCATTTGTTTGTTTTGGTGGGGGGTGGGGGTTGTTTTGTTTTTTAGGTTTTTTCCCCCCTCAAAGTTTTTGTCCTAAAGCAGTTGGCTTTGGGTTAAATTTAAGATGATTCTGTTTTCATGACAAAGGAAAAAGAGTACCTTACAATGAGATGATCTTCAGTAATCAGGCGCTTGAATCTTACATGGCAGATACTGTCATAGAAGTAAATATGTTTTTGAAAAATATATACGTCCTACTCACAGGCACTTCCTGTGACTCCTGGATTAAGACTGGGGCCAGGCCAGGACTTGCTGTTTCACCAAAGTGAAAACTTGTATTTTGGGGCACCTGGGTGGCTCAGTTGGTTAAGCGACTGTTTTCGGCTCAGGTCATGATCCTGGAGTCCCGCATCGGGCTCCCTGCTCGGCAGGGAGTCTGCTTCTCCCTCTGACCCTCTTCCCTCTCGTGCTCTCCATCTCTCATTCTCTCTCTCTCAAATAAATAAATAAAATCTTTAAAAAAAAAACTTGTATTTTGTTGGAATATTTGAGTTTTACTTAACTAACTCAAAACATTCCAGTGATTTAGGTCTGGTCTTTATTTTTTAAGATTTTTTATTTATTTGACAGAGAGAGAGAGAGACAGTGAGAGAGGGAACACAAGCAGGGGGAGTGGGAGAGGGAGAAGCAGGCTTCCTGCTGAGCAGGCAGCCTGATGCGGGACTCGATCCCAGAACCCTGGGATCATGAACCGAGCTGAAGGCAGATGCTTAACAACGGAACCACCCAGGTAGCCCAGGTCTGGTCTTTAATGAAATATATTAATAAGAAGAAGAAAGGTTTGGGGTTTTTTTTTTTTTTTCAAAGATTTTTTTTATTCATTTGAGAGAGAGAGCAAGCAGGACCAGGGGGAGGGGCAGAGGGAGAAGCAGCCTTCCCGCGGAGCAGGGAGCCTGACACGGGGCTCGATCCCAGGACCCCAGGATCATGACCTGAGCCAAAGGCAGACGCTTAATGACTGAGCCACCCAGGCGCTCCCCCCCTTTTTTAAGGGTTTTTTTTTGTTTTTAAAGATTTTATTTGAGAGAGTGTACGTGAGAGCATGACTGGGGGAGAGGGGCAAAGGAAAAGGGTCAAGCAGACACCTCACTGAGCACGGAGCCCTACATAGGACACAATCCCAGGACCCTGAGATCATGACCTGAGCCGAAGTCAGATGCTTAACAGACTGAGCCACCCAGGCACCCCAATATGAAAGTTTTGTTGGGGTGCCTGGGTGGCTTAGTCGGTTAAGCATCTGACTCTTGATTTCGTCTCAGGTCATGATCTCAGGGTCTTGGGATTGAGCCCTGCATTGAGCTTTGTGCTTAGTGTGGAGTCTGCTTGTCCCTCTCCCTCTGCTTCTCCCCCCCAACCTCGTGCCCTTCCCCCACCCCAAATAAATATCTTAAATGAGTCTGTCCCACCCTGATACAATTCTGAAAAATTCTGTTCTTTTTTTAGTTCTTCTCCAGTGTTGATATAAATATTGTAGACTATTGAACCATATCTGAAGCAGACTAGATTAACCCTTATTTAATTAGGAAGCACTACTAGGGCGCCTGGGTGGCTCAGTCTTCAAGCTGATCCCAGGGTCCTGGGATGGAGCGCCTCATCAGGCTCCCTGAGCAGGGAGCCTGCTTCTCCCTCTCCCTCTGCCTGCTGCTCGCCTGGCTTGTGTGTTCTCTGTCTCTGACAAATAAATAAATAAAATCTTAAGAAAAAATTTGTACCTACCCGCAGGGTTGTAATAAGGATTAAGTGAGTTGATTCAGATAAGTACTAATTGATAAATTAGATAATTTTTTCTAAAGTATCCTTTAGGTTGGGTTTTTTAATTATTTTTTTAGGCAAAGTGTATCTTTGTCTCCCTTGGATGCCATGTAGTGTTTCTACCACATGGTGCACATGGCTTTGAAACACTGAAGTGATTTTTATTTGTGCAGTCTCTGGTTACTTATTGTCTGCTTTTTTATACTCTAGCCTTAGTTTTTTTTTTTTTACCCCAAAAATGATTTTATTGCTTAACCAATGAGATTTCAGTGGTAGGTCACTATTCGAGTCTTCTAAAGATATCTTGAGTGGTTGGCTATTTGGTGATACCTTGGCCTCAGAACGCCTGGAGTCCCACTGGAGTCTCATTGCTAATGCCGCAGGTCCTTAGTCTCCTGACCCTCCTCTTCTGATTAGAGCCATTTTGAAGCTTATTATGTCTTCCATTAATTCTCTACCAGCCTCTAGCGTGATTTATTTTAAGAAGCAAATTCTGGGGCACCTGGGTGGCTCAGTCAGTTGAGCATCTGCCTTCAGCTCAGGTCATGATCCCAGGGTCCTGTCATCGAGTCCCACGTTGGGCTCCGTGCTCAGTGGAGAGTCTACTTCTCCTCCCTCTGCCCCTCCCCTTGCTTGTGCGCTCAAGCATGCTCGTGCACTCGAGCATGCTCGCTCGCTCTCTGAATAAATAAAATCCAAAAAAAAAAAGCAAATCCTGAAATAAAGGTTAAAAGATTTCCCTTAACACCTTACAGGGAGGAAATCTTTTGGTAGTAACATGTTTTTTAAAGATTTTTTAGTTAATTCTAAATAAATTTAACAAATCTCAAGTTTGTACCAGTGTTTGGTTCTTATATTTTAATTACTAAAGAAACCATAAAAGTTGTTAACTAGATAGGAGAAAGAACACACGGTTTCTGGTCATACTTTGTCAAGAAGTAGATCACATTGAGCATTTAACTTAAGATTTCTAGATCTTGGTTTCTTTTTCTCCTCTAAGATTGTACTTGGTGGTCTAAAGTTCCTATGGCTTAAAATTCAACAGTAATGTAAGCAGCTCTTTTATGTTTTCATTAAGTTCATGTATAAACATGCACATCTGTGCCATCATTGGGCAGTTATAATTTAGGATTTTAAAAACACAACAGTAATTGACCATTATAACTTTGCTTCTCCCTTTCTGTTCCTCAGTTACCGAGCTGATACCCAGACATACCAGCCCTATAACAAAGACTGGATTAAAGAGAAGATCTACGTGCTCCTTCGTCGGCAGGCCCAACAGGCTGGGAAATAGCTGAGTTAGAAGCAGTGGGGGCTGGGGGTGGGCTTGGAACACAGGTGTGTACAGCGTGCTGCAGTGGCGGCTCTGTATTATAGTAATCCTGTCTCCATCTTGGTGTACTCTAGCCAGGATGGAAGGTATTAGATGAAATGTGAGGATCTTGTTCAATCTGAAACCCCCATTGCCCCCTTCCCCTCCCTTTTTTTTTTTTACTTAAACATTTTTATGATAATTTAGATGGAACTTGTTTGTCAGTTAATCTTGGTTCCAGTCCTTCAAACTGTTCATATCTACTTTATAACATTCGCTGTACTAACCCTTCAGGTTGGGGTGGGGGGGTAGTGACAGTTTAGTTACATGCTCAAGATAAAGTCTTAGTGAAAAATGAATAAATGTTCTTTAGTTATATTTTCCCCTTGAGTGATTTTTTTTCCTTGGTCTCCGAACATTGAAGTTTCTTACAAAGCATTATCAGTTTCAAAACCTGTAGGCTGCCACACAAAGAAGTTGAAGAAAGCTTATGTATGTGTTGAATACATTTCACCGTGGTTTCTGTGAAGCCAACAAGCTTTTACCCCATTTTTCCAGCCTTATAAGTAAATCTTGATTGTAGCTCCAAGGTTCGTACTTGCTATTGATGCAAACATTATGAAAGATTTTTCTGATGACCTAGCTTATCTGCAGCAGCCAGGTTAGGTCCTTAGTTTTGGTCATGTACTCTTTCTGGGAAGTTCTTGTGCCCTTCTCATAGCTTTCAGCAGTTAAACACTGTTTACCACTTCTGTATGAAAGCTGTAAGGGTAATGGGAAGACCACAGAAAAGGACCAGATCATTTTGCTTTTGATGGAAAGAGTGTTCATCACGTTGTGACTCGAACATACACTGTACTGTACCGTCAGTCATCCAAGTGTGCTAACATTCCCTGATTCTGCTATTCTCACACTTCACCAACAGCCAGTATCTTTACACACTCTAAGATTGGCAGTTTTTTTGGAGGCTTTGTGACCGGCCTTCCCCATGTCCTCAGCCCTACTTTCACATTAGAGCCTTAACTATTTTTCTTATTTTATGCAGAATGAAATTCTGAGTTAGTAGTTATATGTGCTTTTACTGTAGAATAGTTATTCTGTTAATGAAATGTCACAGTATCAAAGGATCATTAAAATTAGGGTGCCTTGGGGTGCCTGGGTGGCTCAATTGGTTAAGTGTCTGCCTTTGCCTCAGATCATGATCCTGGGGTCCTGAGATCAAGCCCTGCATTGGGCTCCCTGTTCAGCTTCGCCCTCTCCCTCTACTCCTCCCCCTGCTTGTGCTCTCTCTCAAATAAAAAATCTTTAAAGAAATAAAATTAAGGTGCCTTACTAAGTTATGTATAGCTATGGTTAATATTTCACTGTGAGTCAGCCAGATTTTAAAGCTAAAATGTTCCCAGTGAAAAAGGAATAGATCCAAAGTAAGTCAGATTGTTTTGCTTTCATTTGGTATGTCCTGCAATACAGGTTTATTTCTGTAACAGATGTGATCTTGGCTTCATTTTTTGAAAAATACTCGAGCACGTCTGGAGGGAATGGGACCCCTTGATACTCAGATACAGTTTCTAATGTTAGGTTTAGAGAGGAAAATATGATTTTCTAAGGAAAGTGGAAGACATCTGGGGCCTAGATGTTGGGTGATGAGCGCAAAAGGGAAAGGGAGCAGTATTTCAGATCATATTTTATAAGGCTTAAGGAAGAATAGGACTGGAATAAATGTGGACATATATATACATTTATGTCCAGCATCACAAAGAAAAAGAGCAGAAGTAGCCTTTCATCGTGGAGGTGAAGTCTGTGATAAAACCTTCAGTGGTTTGGCCAAGCTATAACCCTCATTCCCCTGTGTTAAAGAGTTGGTATATTGATTGTGTGGCCTTTCCCCAACCACAAGTAAAACAGGTCTGATTTCTGTTCATACACTGATATTTTACACTGCTACCTACAAGTGAAACCTACAAATTAGAAAATTCTTGATTCTCATCTACCTTATTTTATATACCTGAGTATATAAAATCTTGATTCTCATCTAATTTGTATACCTGAGCATATAAGATATTTCTTGACAATGTTCCTTCTCTCAGCATTTGATCTAAGTGATTACAGGAATATAAAAGGGATTTTAACTGTCTCACTTCACTGGCAGTTCTTGGGCTTAAAATATTTGCCGCACCTTGCTAAACGCCTTGGGCATTGTTTGGACAAGTTGTGTATCTTATTCCTGTCGTTGCATTGGGAATGCTTGGGGCCTGTTTTCCTTCCAGTAGCCGACCAGACAGGGTTAGAAAGAGGGCAGGGCAGTTCTTAGGATGACATCAGCTTCATAACAGTTTGGCCCTTCCTTTATCAAACTTGTTTTTACTAATTTTTCAAAGATCAGAATGAAAATTGGCAAAAATAACTTTAATAAATTTTATTACATTTGTACAGATACATTTAGAAGAAAGACGATTAATTTGTGTGTTGGCATAAAGCTCCTAATATTAACATTTAGGCATAGCATTTCCTGCTTAGGAAACGTTTACATATATCTTACTTAATCCACACAGCAGCCCTTTGAGGTTGGAAACCATTGTTCCTCTGTTACTGGTGAGAAAATAGGCTCAAATTGTTCAAGTCCCTCACCCAGATCACACAGCATAACCACAAAGATTTTACTAGCTGAAAAAGACATGGTCTTAACCTCAGATCTTGAGAGTAGGGAGCCCCCACAAAATGAATAGCTGTGACCTAAATAATGGATCTCTGGTGGGTGCCTATCAAAGGAAGCTTTTTAGATCCGTAAGACCTGAATAGGTCTCATTTGTCACCAGTTTAATCAAAAGCAGAGAGGACAGAAAACAGCTTGCTAGCCCAGCATTATGGAGTGTTTCTCCTCCATTGGAGTAGTCCTCATGGCGGTTCACACAGTAATCCAAGAAGTATTCTCTGCACACACAGACAGATGATACTTCTGGTGCAAGAGCTATGCTGACCCAGAAGCCCTGTGTACAACAGGAGCCACGATCCCTTGTTATAACTCCATAGACTTAGTTTCTAGGTCACCAAGAGTCCTTTCCCAGTTACAAGTCATTGCATTCGGAGAAGCACAAAGTTCGACCTTCCCACCAGGAATTTATAGTTTTCACCTACCCGAAGTATAAATGATCAGAGGTCATTTTACCTCTGATCAACAATCTTGTCTAGTAATGTTTTTTCTCAAGAACAGAGCTAGAATGTTAACCCAAGGTCAAATTTGGCCATAGAGCAGTTTTGCTAATCCTTCATCCACAGATATTTAAGAAGCGTGAGATGGCACATCTAGCTTACTTTCATGTGGGAGGTAACATCTGAGCCTCAAAAAGTGGCTAAACTCGGAACATTGGAAAATAGGACAGGAGAATAACAAGGTCGTAAACACTAATGTTGGCGGGACAGCAAGGAAGTCATGATGGCCGGAGTAAAGTGAGTATTTAGGGGAGCGGTGGTGTAAAGGCTGGAAAAGCTAGCAGTGGGATGCCTGCAGCATGAAGCTACAGAGTTTAACTTCGTAGGCCGTGAATAACCATTCAAGATTTTTTTTTAAAGATTTTATTTATTTGAGACAGAATGAGAGAGAGAGAGAGAGCACATGAGAGGGGGGAGGGTCAGAGGGAGAAGCAGACTCCCCGCTGAGCAGGGAGCCCGACGCGGGACTCGATCCTGGGACTCCAGGATCATGACCTGAGCCAAAGGCAGTCGCTTAACCAACTGAGCCACCCAGGTGCCCAACCTTTCAAGATTTTTAAGGCAAACCTGTCAAATCTGCTTTAGGAGGATGAAATTCACTGCTCTGTGTAGACCAGATTGGAAAACTAGAGAATTGAATGACCCAGAAGCCAAGGCAAGAGAAGTTTTCAGTGACACAGGTAAGATGAGGAACTGTAAAAAAGCTTTGGCTTTGGACTTGAGGCAGTTTTTTCAGGAGTGTAACATGAAGACAAAAACCAATTTGCAGGTGAAGAGCCCGCCCAGGAAATAGTGAGGAATAGGCAGGGAAGGCAAAGTTCACTGGGAACTTGAAAGAAGGAAGTGGGAATATGGAATGACGAGTTGCAACAACAGATTTTTTTTTTATAAAGGCAATTTGTCCATGTATATAAGTAACGTAAGCAGAGGAAGGATCTAAGATTTTAAAAATTTATTACAATATATACATAATGATAGGTAACAAGCATGATATAGAAAGGCTAACTTTGAAACTAATGTAATATTGTATGGCCATTATACTTCCAAAAAACAGCCGAGCTCCAGGCTACACACAAAGGCAAGTGAGTGATGGGCTAAGACATAAGGGGCTGAGAGACTGAAATCGTGAAGACATTCGGTGGAGAAGTTAGAAAAGGCTAGATGATGATCTGAGGGGAATTTCAGCGATAGAAACCTGAGAGGGGGGATAATTTCTTAGTGATTCACTTTCCTGTCTCCTGCACTGCATAGTTCTCTACTTGGAAACCTGATCTAAGAAAGAGATCTTACCTTTGAAGACAGGAGTAGTCCTTTCAGCTACATTTAGAGATCCGGTGTCAACTTATCTAGCACACTTCTTTCTTTTTTACAATTACATGCTTTAACTAGATATTCAATTTGAGGCACGCTGTGAAGAGCTTGGCTTAAAAGTCTCTTCTGTGCCAAAGGTAATTTTCTTTATGCTTTTCCAGAGAGTGGGGAGAAGGCTAATGAGGACTGATGATATCACTTGAGACAGGCCCTATGTCTTTGTCAACAGATGTTTGAATTTAAGGTCTTCAGACTGTAAGAGAAATGGGATAGATCATGGTTTTATCCTTGGAAGCCTGAGGTTGGATGGGTTGCCATGGTAATGCTGACTCTAACTCACTTACTGGCATTTGTTGTGGATTACCTGCTCTGTTCCAGGAACCCCCAGGCTCAGCCAATTATATTGCCCCTCTAGTCTTTGAGAAAAAAGGAGTATGTTTGAGTCTTAGTACCTGCTCCAGGGTGAACAATTTGAGAAGCATCTAACAATTCTGGGCCACTTCTCCCCCGTGGCCCTGGACATTGCAGAGATTGCTTTGTCTTTGACACTGACAGTGAGCCCAGATGCATGTTGGAAGCATGGTTACTCACTTCCTTCCACAGGTAATGCAGTTCCAGGAAGGATTACCCTAAGGCCCTTCCAGTTTTTAAGCAAGTCCCAATAGGAGGCTGCAGTTGTGAGGGAGGGGAGTTAGCCTCATACTCCCTTCAGAGGAGTATTATGAAAGGATCTGAAGGTACAGGTACTGAAAGGCCACTGAGGGCAAATGCTCATTAGTATGAAGTCCTGATGCAGCTCTTAGGGATCTCTCAAGGTAGGAAGTCTTGATTCTCCAGCATTTGGTGACATCTCTGAGCCAGGTCCTCTCTGGATCTGTTCAAGTTGTTGGATTGAGAAACTAGATCTTTCCTTCATGTAAAAGGCTAATGATCTCTACTTAATAGAGTATTTGAGGCCTGTGAGCC